ATAGGATGGCTGCCCCCCGAGCTTTTGGATCTATGGGTCCGAGCCGCCCGCCCCACAGCGCCGGAGCCCAGTGAGGTGGAGGTGAGTTGTGGGGTCGTTTTATGGGGTCAGACCCACAGCTGTGGGGTCTCTGTGGGTCTCTATGGGGTTTCTATGGGTCTCTATGGGGTCCCTTTGGGGTCAGCCCCATAAATGCGCCCCATACAGGAACCCAGAGAGATCCCAGAACCGAGTGTGGGGCTGCCGCCGTCCTCAGGTTCGTGTGGGGCGGCTGTGGGGTCTGTGGGCCTTTATGGGGTCCCTATGGGTCCCTATGGGTCTCTATGGGTCCCTATGGGGTCTCTATGGGTCCCGATGGGGTCCCTGTGGGTCCCTCTGTCCTTCTATGGGATCTCTATGGTTCTCCATGGCTCCCTATGAGACTCTATGGTTCCGGTGGGGCAGAGCTGACCCTGGAGCTGACCCCGGAAGAGCTCCGCCCTCTGGTGACCCCGGCAGAGGAACTGAGGTCTGAGGGGGGCGTGGTTTGAGTATGGAGGGGAAGGGTGGGCGTGGTCACGAGCAAGTGACCAATCAGGCTTACCCCCGCCATCTGCAGAGCCCCGCCCCCTCTGCCTGAACTTCCGGAAGAGGTGGAGCTTCCGCCGGTGGGCGTGGCCTCGTTGCGGCGGTCAGTGGGCGGGGCCTGGGAGGGGTGTGGGCGTGGCTTAACCCCGATCCGACCCCACTTCCGTCGATCCTATAGGTTGGCGTTGGAGGGGGCGGGGAGACCAGAGGGGGCGGAGCTTGGTGGGCTCCTCCCGAGCTCCGCCCCCCGGAAGTTGTGGGCGCGGCTTTTCCGGGTTTGTCTCGGTAAGGGAGGCGGAGCTTCGTCGGATGCAACCAATGGGTTTTGGGTACGGCGTGTGTGGGCGTGGCTTGCTCTAAGCTCCGCCCCTTCTGTAGATCTCTGCGCTGCTGGTTGGCTACGCCTGGAGCAATCCCGCCCCTTTGGGCCAATCAACATCCGGCTCGGCCCACGAGGCCCCGCCCACCCCTCGCCAGGCCCCGCCCGCACGGAATGAAAGAGGCGTGGCTTTGGCTTCATTCTTTTATTGGTCAGGTGTTGGCATCACGGCGGCCGCGTCGTCCAATCCCTGCAAAGGGGCGGGGTCAGACATGTGGGGGTGGGCACTTAAGGGGCTGTGGGTCTCCATGGGGGGCTCTATGGGGCGGGTTGGGGGTCTCACCATGGCCCTCTGCAGCCTCTCCCGCTCGCTATGGGGCAGCCGCTCCATTCCCCGCCCCACTTCTATGGGGCAGCTCCTCCACAGCTCCAGCAGCAGCCCCACAACCGCAGCCTCCAGATCTGTGGGTCCAATTTGGGGGCAGAGGGAGGCCTCGTGCCCCATTGAACCCCCAACCCCCCCCCCCATTGCTGCCCCCACCTCTCTCCATTCTCCCCATCCCAACGGCGCTGCAGACCCGCGGCAATTCCTCAGCGTGGGGGAGGAGCTACAAAACAGGGGCGTGGTCAAAGTAAGCACCGCCCACCTTGTAAGCCCCGCTTCGTTCCGTCCCCATAGAAACTCACATGAGCCCTATAGGGACCCATAGGACCCCCATAAACACCCATGTGAGCCTCCAGCGCCCCCTGGCGCCCACCTGCCGTCGATGCAGCTGCAGCAAATACCCGAAAACGGCCGAATTCTCCTCAAAATCCTCCGTCAACGGCAGCGCAGGGAGCAGCAGAGCAAGCAGCTGGGGGGCGGGGACAACGTCAAGCCACGCCCACTTCCGGTTACGCCATCAAGCGCCCCGCCTATTGGTTGTAACCCATAGCCCTCCCCCAATAAGCCCCGCCTAATTGGTTCCACATTGACTACTGCCCTTAGCTCCTCCAATCGCAAACGCGTTCAGGCCTGTGAAATGCCTGGATTCCAGCCTTGACAATCCCAGCCAATCACCTCCCGCCCCGTTTCCTCCGGAAGTCCCGCCCCTCACTTCCGCATCCGGCAGCGCCCCCTTATGGCGGACCAAAGCCCCGCAGGCGTTGTCCCTCGCCCTGCCCGGCCCCTCCTCCCGCAGCGCTCGACCAATGGCAGCCAAGCCCGGCCACGCCCTGGGGCGGGGTCAAGGAAAAAGGGCGGGGCTTAGAGCAGGGCGCCGGTCTTCGTGGTGATTGGGTGGAGAGGGAATGAGGCGGGTTGAACGGGGATTGGTTGGCTGATGTGAAGGGGTGGGGCTAAAGGAGATAGGGGTGGGTTGAGCAGGAAATGGCCGGGCTTATGGAAAGGGGTGGGGCTTAGATGATTGACATTTCATACAAAAGGCGTGGTTAATGAGTGGGCGGGGATTAGGGGTGGGCTGGACATGAGGATGGGGCGTCTATGTGGGTGAAATTTGGCCGTTTTGGGCCAATCCAGTGCTGTGTTGGGGCTCTGGGTTGCATGCAAAGTGGGTGGGGCTTGAAGGTAAAGGGCGGGGTTTGTCGCCAAGGATACGCCCCCAACGCGACCCCATTGGCCGCTAAACGCCCGATGCTGCAGAGAGCGTTGCTTCGCACTTCCGGATCCGGGTCGTGGGCGGAGCTTCTAGCGAGGGCGGGGCCAATCAGAGGGAGCAGCTCTTTGGCCACGCCCTCTTCCAGGTGCACTCCTGCCTCACCCAAGATGGCTGCCGCCCAGGAGCGCTGTGCCACGTCGCCGCTCTGTGACGTCATCGAGGGGGCGGGGTCAGAGACTTCACCCCGCGATCTGCATAGCCACGCCCACTTTCCACTAAGCCCCGCCCCCTCACCAGGCAGGCCAACAGGCTTGGCAGGGCTTGGCGGAAGGCGTCACTTAAAGCTCCGCCCCCAGGGGAAGCCCCGCCCACCGCCGCCAGGCCTTCCCCAGCCAGCTCCCTCAGCTCCGCTGCGGCCTCCACCTGATTGGAGGAGAGCAAATCGTAGTGGGCGGGGCTAAACCAGAAGGCCACGCCTCTGGTTCCGAAGCCACGCCCACCTCCTCATCATCTTCACTTCCGTCGCCGTCTTGGAGGCAGCGGATCTGGGAAAACATGGCGGAAATTGGCCCCAAATCCATCAAAATGGACCCAAATTCAACATGGCCGCCTGCCCTCCTTTAAGCCCCGCCCCCAAGGGAGCCCCGCCCACTGCCTGAAGTCCCGTTTTCCCTCCCTTCTCCTTTAAGCCACGCCCACATTCAAACCCAGTGTCTCTATAGGGCACTTCTGAAGCCACGCCCACTCCCGGAAGCCCCTAGATTTAAGCCCCGCCCCTCCCGGAAGTCCCCCATTAAACACCCACCCCTTATTTTAACCCCGCCCCCTCACCTTGCCGTTGATGACGTCAGCCATCAGGCAGCCAATGGCGCGCAGCAGCTGGGGGCTGGGGGCGGGGCTTAGGCCCTTGCAGAGCGCCGTAAGCCCCGCCCTCGCTGGCCCCGCCCCCTTTTCCGCCCTCACCGCCCCCAGCAGCGCCGCCAGCGCCCGGCCTGACCCCAAAAAAGGCCGGAATTCACCCCAAATTCAACCCCACAAAATCCCCCATAACTGCGACCCCCTGCCCCACATCCACCCCATAGACCCCATAACTGCGACCCCCAGCCCCAAATCCCACCCATTCCCTCATAGATCCCAATGAGACCCCCCATAATTCACCCCCAACCCCAAACCCCCCCTCAAACCCCCACCCTGCAGCTCTCGGTGCCCCATAGATCTGCCGGCCCCACAGCTCAGCCCCCCCAGTGCCCCATAGGCGGCTGCGCGCACTTCCGGGTGCGGGAACTGCGGGGTGTCGCGACAATATCACAATAGGGGGCGCTGGGACAACACGGGGGGGGGCCCTATGGATCCCTATGGGGTCACTATGGATCCCTATGGGGTCTCTATGGATCCCTATGGGGTCCTTATGAGGTCTTTGTGGGGTTTCTGTGGGTCTCTATGGGTCCCCATGGGGTCTCTATGGGTCTTTATGGGACTCTATGACATCTCTAGGGGTCATTAAGTGTCCCTATGGGGTCCTTATGGGGTCCCTATAGGTCTCTATGGGTCTTTATGGGTCCCTATGTGTCACTGTGGGGTCTCTTTGGGTCCCTATGGGATCTCTATGGGGTCTCCATGGGGTCTCTGAGGGTCCCTACGGGGATTCCATGGGTCCCCATGGGCCTTTATGGATCCCTATGGGGCCCTATGGGATCTATGGGGCAGGGGAGGCCTCACCTCCAGCAGCGGCAGCAGCGCTTCCAGCACAGGCGAGAAATAGGGCTCAAAAGCGGAGCTTTGGGGGGGGAAAATGAGGGAAAATGGACCAAAAATGCACCAAAAACAGAAAAACGGCCCCAAAAAACCCCAAAATGACCCCAAAAAAACCCAAAACGACCCCAAATAACCTTCCGTGACCCCAAGTGACCCTTCCTGCTTACCCACAATGCTCAGCGACAAGCCCCGCCCCCTCGCACGCCGCCTCCACTTCCGCCACGAAGTCTCCGCCCACCTCCACCCTGTGGGCGGGGCCAAAGTGGGTAAAGGGGGCGTGGCCTCGCGCAAGCCCGCCCCCCCATCACCACCCACCCTTAGCCCCGCCCCCTACATCACGTGCTCCTCCTCCTCGCCGTCCATTGGCTCCGCCCCCTCCTCGTCCTCAGCAGCATCAAAGAGAAGGAACGAATCGGAGGCAGATGAGGGCACCTGGGGGTGGGGCCAAAGTCAGGCCACGCCCCCTTTGCCCATATATGGTGTCCCCATTGTGCAGCTGTGCTTAGCCTTACTCCGCCCCTTTTGCCCATATATGGCGCTGCATGGAGTGGTGCCGAGCCCCGCCTCCTTTCGCCCATAAAAGGCGCAACTCACCGCAGGGGGCGGAGCTTGGAGGCTGTTCAGGAGGAGGGGGAGGAGCTTGGGCAGCATTGGCTCCGCCCCCTCCCGCAGGGCTTCGGCCGCGGCCCCACAGAGCCCAAATCTGGGGGGGAAAAGGGGGAATTTGGGGCAGAAATGGGAAGTGGGAGGGGGGTCAAGGGTCAAGGGTCAAGGGTTAGGGTCAGGCACATTAACGTTAGGGGGCTTGGGGTCATTTGGGGGCCATTTTGGGGTCATTTGGGGTCACTTGGGGGCCATTTTGGGGTCATTTGGGGTGCATTGGGGTCGGCTCACAGCACGCGCCGCTCCTCCGCCTCCCCATCGGCCGCCATTTCCAGCACCGCCTCCAACGCCGCCCCCAAAGCCGCCGGGCTGCAACCCAGCGCCCCCAAAACCTCTGCAAAAGAAATTGGGACCCAAAACCCCATGGATTCACCCCAAAACCCCATTGGCTTCCCACCAAATCCCCCAAACTGCCCCCAATCCGGCACCAAAACCCCAATAATTCAGCCCCAAAGCCCACATTGACCCCAAATCCCATTCATTCACCCCCCAAATCCCCCAATGCCACCCCCAAACCCCCCTTCCATACCCACACCTCCACCCCCAAACCCCCCTTACAACAAACCCCAGATGGACCCACAACCCGGACCCCCAAACCTGACCCCAACCCACCCCCAAAACCCCACTTTTGGCCCCAAAATGACCCCAAACCCCATAAAATCCCCCCCAAATCCCCCCCTCACCCATCGCCTGCAGCCGCACTGAGCGCTGATGGGGGTCCGGGAGCTGCAGCACACGGAGCAGCGCCGCCTCCACGGCGCCCCCTGCTGGGCAAACGGGGAACTGCTCCACAGCGCCGCCTGGTGGGAGAAAGATGCCATTGCATCGCAGCGTTACCTGGTGGCCGTCTGAAAGAATTACAACTGGGTGCAATGGGAATGGCGCCACTGCGCCACCTGGTGGTCAAAAAGGGAAGTGCTCCTAGTGATTAAATAGGGAATGGCGCCACAGCGCCGCCTGGTGGATGAAATAAGAATCGCACCATTGCACCCTATGCAGGGCAAATAGGGAAGTGCTCCACAGCGCCGCCTGGTGGATGAAAGGCGCGGTTACATCGCAGCGCCACCTGGTGGCCGTTTGAAGGTATTACAACTGGGTGCAATAGGAATGGCGCCACTGCGCCACCTGGTGGGCAAAGAGGGAAGTGCTCCTAGTGAGTGAAAGGGGAGCGGCAGCACAGCGCCACCTGGTGGCCGTCTGAGAGAATTACAACTGGATGGAATGGGAATGGCAGCACAGCGCCACCTAATGGTCAAAGTGGGAAATGCTCCCAGTGAATGAATAGGGAATGGCGCCACAGCGCCGCCTGGTGGCCGTCTGTAGGAATTACAACTGGGTGCAATGGGAATGGCGCCACTGCGCCACCTGGTGGGCAAAGCAGAAACGCCTCCAAAGGGGATTTTGGGGAGGGGGATTTTGGGGCAATTC